GAAAAATCATTTGTAGTTTCAAAGAACTTTTCAAACATGTTCCTTTTGTTATGTTACCTTGATTGTATGCTCTGATCTATCATAGAAAGTCTGTGCTTCAAGGAATATTGTAAGTCCATGCTGGTTTTGACACTAACAACAAAAAGATCCTACTGGCAACACAGAATAAAAAAATGTACAGCTACATGCTAATTAAAACATGCATAATGTGCTGGGAAATCCTTCACCAGTTACATTTTCTTATATTGCTGTTGTGAAAACAGTTCATGTTCTTCCTACAGAAGTTGTACCAGAGCAATCTGCTACAAGTAACTTCTGAAAATAGTGGACACTTCTTTGCTTGAAGAACTGGGATATTTTATTTATTTTTTTTTCCCACAGGAGATAGGACGTTTGAAATCACCTGCAGGTCATTTCAAAGAGAACCAGAGTAATAGATGAGATGCAGAAAATTTTTACATTCTATCTTCCTTTCCTTGGATCAGGTTTTTAAAATAGATGCCAAGCCTATTAAATGTATATTCCTTTTTAGAACTACAGCATAAGCAGATAACTGCTACTCCATAAGCTACAAAAGAACAAAAAGATCCTTTTCCTCTCTAGCAAGAATATAAGTTTCAGAATTCTCACCGTAAAAGCCCACTCTCTTCTCAGCAGGGCTCAAGCAACAATTCCTGTGCTTCCCAAACCAGCATAGGAAACACAGTTCAGCAGGAAGAGTTGTAGTGAGATTTCACAGCAAAGTTCAAACACATACACAAAACCAAATTATTCCCTCTAGTGAAAAAACGCAACCCCTTTTACCATAGCATCCAAACAAGGGTTAAAATGTTTTCCAGCAACATGAGATAACCAGTTCTACCTGCTTCTTAATGCAAAGAAGAACAAGCTTGTTTTCTCTATACTACCTTAATGTTCATAATACATCAGCAGAAAGTCTTCCTAGGTCTGGCAGCCCTCATAAGAGAGTTAGTGCAAGCTATTTAAATGATTCATCTCAAAACTGCGTAGCTGATCATCACAACTCCCTTAGCAAGAAGTAATTAAAAAAGAAATTGCTAAAAGAAAAAGAAATAGAGGAAAATTTAAGACTCCATCTTTATCCAGCTTTAGACTACTAACAAGATTGTAACCTTGGCTGCCAACACCAAATTCCTAGGCATCCTGTCTTTTATTCTGAGCCTGCTCCTATTTCTCCTTTTTCTGAACTTGTGCCAGCTTCAGTTGCTTTTAATGTTCTGTTTGCCAGATGTTTAGCAATGGAATTTCAAGAGCAGTAAATGTGGTCTCACCCTTCTCCCATCAGAGGCAAGGGTAACTACTTTTCTGCTGGTTCCCTAGATTGGACAAGGCTCACACAGAAAATGCAATACAGGGCTGAGACATTCTTCATGATTCTTTTTAGTCTCCAGTTCTTGGTTTCTCCCCTTCTTCCTCATCCAAATCCATCTCTCAAAAATTTTCAGAACAGCATGAAGACCCTTCTTCTGTCCCACAGATTTGTCTGATATGGGGGCTCATGGAGATAGACCCTGGCCCCAGCACTTCAGTTCAGCTATGGAAGTGTATCCTAGGTGAGGGCACTGCTCACAGAACACCAATAGAAGGTCCTCCTTTTCCATCACATCATTAGACCATGTTTTCTTCCCTGCTACATGCCCCAGTGAATGTAAACTGAACATTCTGATTTCTGTTGAGCAAAATTAAACCTCAAATTTAATTTCCAAATTAAGATACTTCTAAATTATTTTATTTTCCTAATCCCTATTCAACAGAAACCCCAACACACGTGTTCTTTATGATATATTTCATTCTTCTATAGGACTATCCCAAATTAAGATACTTCTAAATTATTTTATTCTCCTAATCCCTATTCAACAGAAACTCCATCACACACGTTCTTTACAATATATTTCATCCTCCTATAGGGCTATACTGTAGAAACAAGGAAAGGAAGACGTTCTTTATACCTTGCTAACTCCAAGGAAAAATAAAAATCAGCGTTCATTAACGCTGAACCATCAAGCCCAGATCTTGTTGTATGAATATAAATTGGGGATGTCAGTAAACAAATAAAAACACTCTAGAAGATGTTTTTCTACAGCTGCACCAGCTGACTCCAATTGAAAAATCTGTCCCATAGTCTTTTGCAGGTATGAAATCATGAACAGTTTCATTTCAGTTCCTCTTAAAGAAGGAATGAGCCAAAAATTGCAGTTCAGCTTTGGAATTATTTAGAATACAAAAGAAAAGATGGGATTTCTTTTATATCATGTTGTAAAAGCAGGTTCACATGAAAATGCAACTCTCTCCCTTCTTTCACAAACAGTGCATAGACAGTCCAGTCATATTTTAAAGAAGACTTGCTACAATAACCTGAATAGTCATAGATGCTGTAATATAGATGTAGCTTGTGATGTTCACTGTTTTTCCTGTCATACACTGAAATAATGTCGGCAAGATGGGGAATGAACAACAGTTATTTTGTGCTGCCTGGAAAATGTGGAAAAAACTTAGAAATTATTAGAAGACACTAAGTAGACACTTTCTTCCCCCCGCTTGCCTTAGAATAGTAACTTTGTGCTTAGGGCATTTTATCCTGTAGTGCAAGGTCTAGGTTCATGTCCTGTCACCAACCTAAGTAAGTTAATTTTTATGAACTCCTTTGTGCCTTCCCACTCCCCACAACTGGGTGAAATCACCCCAACACAGGACCACAACACAGCCTTTCGCTTTTGTTATAAGCGCTTCGAAATTGTGCTTGGAAAACGTGTCACTTTGGTTACTGAAACCAAAATTTTTCTTTTCTTTCCCATTTTCAGCTCAAAAAAAGCTTGGGAAAAAAATGATCGCAGATAAATCCAAACTAGGTTAAGTGCTGATCTGCAAAGTCAGTCAGTGACAGAACCTGAGCTGTTTCCCCATGTGAGCAGCCTGGTCCCTGAGTGCAGGCAGAAGTTTCATGTCCAGCTGCCTTGACTGCAATGACTTCCACCCTTTTGCTGCATAAATTGTGCTCCACCAGCAGCAGTTACCTAAGGTAACCCTTGTGTACATTCATGCATGGGTTCTTTAGCTCCCAGTCCACTTCAAAGGCAACCTAGCTATGCCTCAGCAAGTCTTCCAGATAGATACGTGCGCTTAAAATGGACAATTGTGTTTAAGCTAATTCTACTTAATGTCATAATTTCATAATTAAAATATATGTCAAGGAGACAAATTAGCATAAAGATGATTCAAATTGTTTAGGTCCACTTGCATTATGATGCCCGGAGAACTGTAACTAGATTGACTTTGGAATGATTTATTGTTATTTTGAAGCAACTTTTCCCCAAAAGGATAAGGATTTCATTGTTGCAGAATATGACAAGTTTATAGCTGTCAAATGCACAAATGGAGGCAATACAAGATAAACAACAAAATTCCCAAATGAAATACGTGCTCCCAACATACTCACAGATCCTGAACACCTGCAGGATTCCTACAGAACCTTCTCTTAACCACTATGGCACATGAATGAGGGTATTCTTTTATTTAGGAATGTGTAGAGATTTATTTAAGATGTTGCGATGCCCACTCTTCTGGGCATTAAAAAAACCTCACTAGTGAAGTATATGTGCCAAAGGAAAAAGTGAAGCCACAGAAAGCAGAACTTCTTAGTATATGCTTTGTCTTGGGTTAAAACTCTCATTTTTTAACAGGTATTAGCAAAGATTTTCTATAAAATGCAGTTGTTACATACTTTCAAACATTCCTGAATGAATGCCATTCATCATCACAAAAAAAATTACTTCATGTCTAAAATGAAGTTACTACAAGGGTTCCATAACGAGACCACATTAGTCAGAGTCACTTATCAAAGAAACACAATAAAACAGAAAATCTTATAAAAACTAATCAGTTATGAATTTCAAGGTAAGGCCTTAGGAAGGACAAGAAAAATTTCTGAGAGCCAACAACCAGCTAACTAAAATCTAGATAGAAGTAAAAGGTAAGACATCCTTTCTTTATTTTTGAGGCATATTAAAATATTCTAAATAAAGTATATTTTATGACCTGCATTCTTAAATTATAGAGGAAGATGATCAGCTGACCTTTTCAGAAAGACAAAGTATTATATATTTATGAAATATGAATTACCCTCTTATACCTTCTGCATAAGCACAATCACACCAGGAGACACCAAAAAGGAGGGTGGGGACATAAGAGTGGAGGAAGAAAGAAGTTCAAGTGCGTGCTGAAAACTGGGCATGGATTGAAAAGAGACATGGGGAAGTCTGGGAGCTGTGGTCCCTCTCCCTTACACTCCCGTCCGTCAGAGAAAATGGGTACACAATGGTCAATTACACAATTCAGAGAAGAGAGCACTTGAAGCTTAGTGGGGTTTAAGGCCCTAAATACAGAATTTCTGGAAAATGGTAAAATAGTTGTTGAATAATGTTGTAGAGAGCTCAACAGAAAACCCTGAGAGAGGTTTGGGTATGACAGGAATGGGATGACTCAGACAATACACAGAGGATCTTAAGTTTTAACATTTAGAGAACTCTATTTATAGGTCTCTGCAAACTGTAATTCATTTACTCAGAAAATCAAGTCTAGAAGTATCGTTATTTTATAGAGAGGAACTCAGCAGAGGCAAGCTGAGCAATCTTCTCAAAGCCAGTGAGCTGTTAGGAACATTACTCTCAATCAGTAACAATAAAAATGTTGTTTTAGGGTTTGCTCACAAGAAATTTCTCAAGAGAATTGAGGCCAAAACAGAACATGACATAGGAAGTTATAAAAGGGGAAGTCTAAGTATATTCCAAGGGAAAAGAAAAGCAACACTCATAAATTGTAAACAACTGCTGAGCAAGGAGCTTAAAGAACATACTTGTTGCAAGGTTTATTCAACTATTTTATCTGAGAGACTGGTAATTTTAACCTATATGAAATGTTTGAAATAATTGCTCTGATTTCACAGTGACAATGTAGAAGAGGAAAGAAAAAAGGAGGGAAGGGAAGCTGAAAAGAGGACTAACTGAGCAGCAAAGAGAAAAGAGAAACAGTATGGCCTGGCTCTTGGCTCTGAGATCATCCTCGTGACCATGCTATACTCTGGAAAAATTCCAGGCCCTGAGAAGTGGAAACAGAACAGGTAGGTTGAAACATTAGGAATGCTTAGCAACTCCTTCGTATTTTAACCTCATCCTTACACTCCAAAAGAGAAAAATATCACAGAGAAAAAGGAACTGAATTATGATTTGATTAAACAGAATGTAAACAGTAATTTGAAAACAAAGGACAATGCAATTTGTTGCGTAGTCACACAACATTCCTCTTGGATTTTAAATTCACCGGCAGCAGTCCCACCCCTTTTGAAAGTACATCCTGGTGTCTGGGTTGTTCAGCCCGAGCAGCTGCTGGAGCTACGAAGCCTTTTTTCATCCTCTGCCAGGATGGGAGTGATACGACTTCCCAACCCACCTCGGATCCTGTGTTTTTCTTTTCATATTATCCTCATTCTACTTCAACAGACTACTGCAGAAAGAGAGCTGAAGTTTGTGGCTGTAGTAAGTGGATTTGCTTTCTGTTTTGTTGTGGGGAATACAGGGAATCTGAGATGGCTGTTGACTCAAACAAGCTCTGCAGTTGCTTTTTAGCTTTTGCCGCTTTTTAGACATAGAAATAACTACTGCTGCCCTTTTGCTTACTGAGTTTAAAGATTTTACTTAAGATAAAAATGCCTCTAGTTTTAAGAATTTTCATCTCCTAACCCCTACTTACTATTTCAAGATAACTGAACAACTTTGCTTTGTGTTAGATGCATAGTGCACAGGAGTTAAGAGATCTGAGGTCTAGTTTACCTGTTCTTCCTTAATTTAGCTGATACTCTAATGCATTGCCTGAGAGCTGGGAATTATGACCTCCCTGCTCTGTGCTTGGAAGCTGAAGCTCAAAGTGTTGTAGAAGTTACCACACACACACACACACACACAAAAGTATTTTCAATTTCAGAATAACTGAATGGGCACAGCAGAATACTGAGAAACAGCAAAGGGCATTTTTATGTAGAGATTTGAGATACATGTTGCATTAACTGCAGTTAGATTGAAAGTAGACTGTAATTGTTTTTTTGCAGGGACATTTCTTATTTTAAAGTAACTACACACTACTTCAATGTCACTTTCCCCAAGAGCTCAGGTAAAAGGGAGATTAATTCAATGAAATATTATAGATCGCGAAGGTTGCGTCACAGCCCTTTGCATTCTAATTTCTATTTTTAATAATAGGTATACTGATAAAGAATAGTTAGTCTAAAGGTCTAAAGGTCTAAAGTCTACATTAGTTAATATAAAGTTGTGGGGGTTGGAATTCACATTTAGAAATAGCTATTTTAAGATCATCTTCTTCTACCTTTCTCTATTTGAAACTTTATGCGCACACACAGCTTAACAAAAAGAAGTACTGTGTCCAAAACACATCTTCTAGCTCTAGGTAAATTATTTCATATCTAGTTGTCCATTGGCTGCCCTGTAGATGTGCCACTTGGAGAGAGGCCAGAGTGCACGGGAAAAACCAGTTCCTGCTCCTGCTGAGGCTTATTGCTCTGTCAGACACTGCACACAGCAGGGACTCAGTGCTAATTCCAGTAATGTTCTCCATATAGCAATGCACTTCAGTGTTGTTTCAACGATAAGATGAAGAACTGGACACACACATGGAATCAGGCAGTCAGCAAGCCGTGGAGAACTGACTCTTTGAAGGGAAGGAGACTTTTATTGAATTGCAACTGCTATTACGTTCTAACAAGCAATGGTTTTGCAGAAAGAATTACAGGAAATGCTCACCAATATGAAGATAGAGGCTTCCTATCCCAAATCAGCTTGCTTACCACAGCTATGCAGCCACCTTCCCCACCTAGCCAAAAAAAAAAAAAAAAAAAGCACTTTATTTATTTATAGGGTAACTTATCACAACTAATATTAAAATAATAGCTAAATTTAATTTAAACTGTCTTCCTTTTATCCCTGATACTTTTCCTCAGACTGAACAATCTGCGTAAAAAGTTAACAGTATGTTTAATCTCACTATAAGCGTACATCTCTTTTCTCAAGGTATAGTTTCTGTGTGTTCAACTGAATTTTGCCTTCTGAACTCATGAACTGAATTATCATGTGAATGGAACTGCTAGTGTAAATAAATAGGGTAGGAATTGGCCACAGAATATTTCATATATATATCCCATTATATCAGATAATGGGATATAATATGGGCATGGCTAGAGTCAAGGTACATCTAAAAGGGATCTTTCTGAGATAAATCAATAGGCATTTTCCAGCTGTCCTCTGTAAGTTGCTGTTTTCACCTGAGTGTATGACTGCATTGTGAAAATGTGTCATAATGATTTTTAAAACTTTCTTACCAGAATTGCACAATATAAAATACATCTGCAGGGGAGAAAAAAAAGACAAATGTTCCCTTTTGCTCAGTTCCATAATTGTGCTATGTTCTGGGAAGGTATCTCGCTCTCTCCACATGGTTTCCTTCTTTGTGCTGATTCTGTGCATTTTGATAGTTGGTCACAAGTCCTTTTGGCTGAAAAGCACTAATTCAAGCCAATTTGTCAAAATGCTGTTTTAGTTTTCTTTCCCACACGTAGACATTAGCCTTCACCATGACTCTTGTGCACTGGATTTAAAGTAGACATAAGAGAAGAAAATAAGAAATATGTAGGACCATAGGCACCTAACTAGAAATGAAATACTGATTTATTGCCTCTGTATAAAGTTCTGACCTGTAGCTTCTCCCTCCACACAGGCACTCATTTTACCTGTCATATATACAAAGAGGTGTGGTTTCTGAGGTGCTGTGATTTCATCATGTCTTTCTTCTTGTAACTCAGGATAGGAAGTGTCTGAGCATGTTATCTATTTGTCTAATCAAGCCAAGCCATTTGAAAGCTTGACTAAACATGCTCAGTATTTCTGCACCTCTGGTTTCCCTGAGCTGGCAGCAGGACAGGTTCCATTTCTCTCCTGCTCCTTCACTCCTATTGTTGGCTTCAAAATAAGAAATCTTTTTGTTTGAAGTTGTGTCTGTCAATAAAAATGTCTGTAAAAGAGTCACTGTTACTCAGAGACAGATAATTCACTGTAATTCATAGCATTACTGAAGGAAGATGTTCTATATACTGCACATGCCATATTCTTAATTCACCCTCTCCTCCACACCAGCTTTTCTCCAGGATGATTTTTCACCAGACAACAATGTAAGCAAATGTGGCCAAAGTCTGAGTCGTGTGGCTGTTTTGATCTGAAGTAACCACCCTCACAAAGTGTCAAAGAGTGAATGGAAGAACCCAGACACCAAATGAGATTCCAGCTGTATTAGAATTAAAGGAGAGGGTATTTGGTAACTGTCCATCTACTGCTTTTGAGAACTGAGGTGACGCACTTCTGGCAGAAGGGCTGAAATGAATACATCAAATGGGTGTGCTTTGCTCTTTTTGGTGTACATCCTTCTTGCCCTCCCTTCCTTCTTGATTTCTAGTACTTTTCAACATTTATGATGCTTCCTTGTTCCTTTTCTCTCATACTGCCATATTCTATGTCTTTTGAAAGGTCAGGAAGGCAATCTGTAGGCCAGGGATAATAAAAGCTGCAGCACACATATTTTTAAATTAATTTGAAGGATCAACTCCTTTTATAACAAAATTGAAATTATGAGTGTTGAGAAATGAATAACGATGAACAAGATGAGCTTTGTAGGGATACATTTTCTTTCCCTAACAGTATCGGATGTACTAATGAAAAAGACAAACTTGCAAATACACAAGCTGTTCCTGAAGTTTTAAACTCAAAGGAAAAAAAAAAAAAGCCTCCTAAAATGTGGCTGTCTGACTGGCTGAGTTAGCCTTTTACATTAAGTGGTTGTTCATAAGGTCATTGTTTCATTTCCAACAGCAACAGAAGCAAGGTCATCTTCAGAAGTAGCAAACAAGAAGGACGCTTGAGCACAAACAAAAATCAGTTGGCTGAGAAGCTTAGTCTTCAGTTCCTAAAAGCAGAGTTCTGCTCTTAGAAATATTTCTTGTTTCCTTGCTACTTCCAACTTAGTGCTAATATCATATTGTCACTGTGCAATAAAGGTCCAGAACTACAAACAAGGAACTGAACATTTTTCTGGTTTGTGTGGACTTAAAGAAGCTGTGCTGCTTTTTAGAAGAGAACACCCTCCACTGCTTCCATTTCTTAAGGTTACAAAGCGAGAAAATATTTTTCTTTACATCTGCTCCCACATATATTTGAGTATCTTTCAATCTTTACCTCTTTGTCCTCTCACTTCTGTTCAGGCAGAATGCTACTCTGTTCTGGCTTATTGAAAGGTTTTAAGGGTTGACTGTTGTGACAGTGAAACATACACTGGGGGCTGTATTGCATATTAAGTATAAAGCACCATAAACTAGTATTTAAAATCTAACACACTTTCAGTAATTTTTCACTAATAAAAAGGGCATTATTTATTGGCCAAGTATTGATCCATTGCTACATATTGCCTAAAAAGTAGTAATTTAATCATGTTGGTCAGTTTGAGCAACTGCCAGTTACTCATAAAAATGCGTTGCTGTGAAGCTGGATAATTTAACAAGAAAATATGCAGCTACATGGTAATTGGGAATTTAACCTTCATTCTTTACAGAGAGGCATCAGCTTGCCCAGAAAAGTGGATGAATCCCACCTGACATCTATTTATGTCAGTATGCCAAAACACCAAGGAGTGACATAAAAGTCCTCCTCACCCATTTTTCTCACATACAACTGAATCAATCACCAGACAATGTAGCTCTTTACCTATTCTTCTGTTCACCAGAGGTTCACTGAGAAATTATTATAAACAACCAACTGAGATTCCAGATTAGTACAAAAAGACATATACAGAATTAAAAATTGCATAGAGAAACAAAAATAAATTATTGAAGAAAGATTTTTATGGACTGTTTTGTGGTACTTGAACTCAGAAAAAAATGTTTTTTTTCCTGAAACTGTGCAATTTCATGTTGATCAACATGTTGATGGTGATGGTGAAAAAGCCTCCTTGATTTGCTGAAAAATATTCATTTCAGGTTGGCCACATCTTCAGCAAAATTCAACTAGCAAAGCAAAAAAACAATAACTAGCTTTCTACATGGTTCTAATGGCAACATCTATTCTAGCAAACCTTACTGGTTATTGTAGGAAATGAACAGAGTGAGAAAACCAATTATATTTGCCTTTAAAGGATAGTATTTTTCATCTCTGAAGTACCTGCTCTAGCACAGGTTTGTGCACATTAGTACAGAAGGCTGATGAAAAGGGTGTGTGCTGTAATTAAAACATTAAGCCACAGTGCCTGTGTTTACTTTGAAAAATATAAACATAAAGCACCTCCCAGTGGGAGTGGCAAACTAACTAGCGTGTACAAACCTCTCTGATGTTTGGGAATAATGATGTGGCTTAATGAGGCAATGCAGAGTATTAATTATTATCAAGCTGTACGCCACGCCAGTGAGGTGTTATGGAATAAATGTCATTTTATGAACAAATATACCATACTTCTACATTGTCATTTTATTCTGCAAAGTCAGGAATGAGGTTGGTTATGTGAACATTGGTACAAGCAAAGGTAACTTTTCCAACAGTTTGGATGAGCAGCCTGGAAGATTGTCTGGAGCCCTGTGAATTTGTACTCCAGCATTTCTTTCATGTGGAACTTTTGTCAACTTCATTTTTCTAAGACCACGCATGACATACTTAGGGAAGTATGTCATGAGTTTTTCAGACTTCAGAGCTTTTCAGAACTTTAATCTATTTAATGTACTTTCTTTGTATGCTGGAATAAAAATACAAAAAGCCTCATTTAAGGATTCTGATATAAAAGTCATATGGTTGAGTGTATCACATTAATATGCTGTAGTGTCCAGTATAGAAAAGTGACCAAACTCTTTGTTCTGACTGAATTTAACAGAAAAAAAAATCACACAGGTTTTCAAAAATATTTTCATACATGTATTAATAAATATTAAGCTAGCAGTGTAAATGTTTTTCATCTTTATATTTTAGGATGATTGAGAAATCAAGCATAATCCATGTGTACATGAAATTACTTTTAAAGATGCTGCTATGAAAAAAGCAGTCACCAAAAGTTTCAAGTGTCTATGCCAAAATAATTAAATACTCATATGAGCACATCAGTAACTCCTTTAATATTCAGAGGTGATGACTGTCCAAAAATTCAGTCATATTTCTTGTGTAGGTGCCTAGCTATGAATGTAATCTCAGCATTAACTTATTGCTGATTAATTTTATGTTCTAGGAGGAAGAATCATCAGGCTCATTCCCACTAAATTCCCATACAATTATACCTATTCTGGTGTCTAAAGAATGTACTCCAATCCTACTTGACTAGGTTTCTGCAGACGCTCCAATATTTTCACTTGAAAAATGTCACTGGAAGTATAATGTATGCTTAACTTCTAGCTAGGTAAGAAAGGAACGTTAACAGGAATTAACTTGATTTTTTTTATTGGCAATATTGTTAGGTTTTCCGACATGGTGACCGAACACCCGTTGTAAACTTTCCAACTGACCCACACAAAGAAAGTGAATGGCCCCAGGGATTTGGACAGCTTACCAAGGTATGTTGACTTTCTTAGCAGCACTTCTATATACTACTAAAATAGGATGCGCGCAGATTTTTTTATGTGTGCCTCAGAAACATTTGCAAATCCCAACTACTCATAGTTGGTATTAGCAATACCCCATAATTCATAAACATTTTTGCAACATTATTCATCCAGCTAATGCTAAATTTAAATCTTGCTCATCATAGTTTTATAATCACCCTCATGAAAGCAACAACTTCCTGATAATGTGTCTGCATTCAAATAAATGGCAAGCTTAAACATTATCTACACTCTTAACATTGATGAAGTTCTAATGACCACTAAGAACTGAGCCCTGTGACAGGGTAAAAGAATGACACCTGCCCACCAGGCCAAGTGATGAGTCCACAACTCATCATTTGACTGGCAACCACCTACTCATAAAACAAGGGAAGTTTTGCAGGGGGAGGCTTTCTCTGGGGACAAAGTGTTTTCCAAAGAAAGCTGATTTCAACCCAGAGTTTCACTAGGATGCACTGAACCTACTTCGTGCATTTCAACATCAAGCCTTAGCTCTTTACCTGTATTTGACACGTGAAATTCTGTAGCAAAGAAAGGCTGAAGCATTTCCTAATAATACTTCATCATGATGGCAAAGGATGTATCAGAGACCATTCAGCATTTAGTGTCTGAAGTGAGGCTTGAGAGATCTGTAAAATTCAGACATGCAGACAACACATTACTTTCCCCAGATACATAGCTTAAGTCCTAAGAACTAAAAAAATTCTGCTTCGGCACAGATTTTTTTGAGAGCTTTTTTCTATTTTATTATCTTTTCAGCAACAGTAATAAGAATACACTTCTCTGACAGCTAAAAGTCAAAAAGTTCATCTCACAGGTTTGGAAATGATTAACAGGAAAGACAGTGTGCAGTCTAAGACAACTGCAGGTGCACCAAGGCAAAGATGGAAGAACATTACTTGATGCATGAAATGCAAGCTACAAATTTATCAGGTTGATCAAATAGCAGATTAATGACAATAATAAATACAGGTTTATCAATCATCCTTTCTCAGCTGTAACTAACTGACATACTCTTTATGGTGTTGATCATTAATAACTCCAGGAGCATCTACAGAGCTCCAGCATTTGTATAGAATCAGATGCATTGCCTTTCCTCTAGCAGATGTCAGAGTCTTAACATCTCAGAACACGTCATTTTTTCATAAATATGAATGAGTACTTCTATTAAAAATTCTAGATCACCTACAAGATATACAGTATACAGAATGGTTAATGATTACTCAAAAACTGACTGCTGAAGACAAAAAAGAAAATAGATAAGAAACTTCTACACTAAGATTCCCTAATCACATTAATCTAATAGTCATCTGTATGCTTACTCACAGACTGGAATGCAGCAGTTATTCAAACTTGGACAGTACACGAGGAAAAGATATTCCAACTTCCTGAACAGCACGTACAAACGGCAAGAGGTATATAACAGCACTGCCTGGCAGAGATTTCTCTGGCATAGCGGAACTATGGACTTGTGCTAGATAAAAGCACATCATCATATTCATTTCATTAATGGAAAAATTAAGGTAATAGAAGAACATTTTTGAAATTCAGGCTTCTATGTCAAGGTAAAAACATAAACTAAAGTCTAGCTTTCAGGTCCCACATTCTGTTTGGGTTTTCCACTGTCCAGTTTTCCAGGACTGAACACCTCCACACCACCAAATGAATTGGGAATTTATACATAGTGACCCTATATTGTTCTACCTTGTTGAAAGGTGAATGCATATCCACTAATATGATGGTCCACGCTCACATACTTCATCCTGTAAAAGAAAAGTCTAGCGGTTGTTTGGATGTCCCTGTCATACAGTACAGATCCAGAAGATCTGTGATCCAGTGATATCCAGAAGATACGACTACCATTTTGGTCAATACATCGGTGGGAAGGCATAAAAGACTACAGCTTTGCCATGGTTCCAAGAGAGTTTACAGATTGAAGTGCCCTCATTCCTGAGGTACAGCAGATGGATCATAACAGTGTTCTTTTGAATCTCAGAAAATGGAGAGCTGCCTTATTTTAAATCATGCTTTCTTATTCTTCTCAGTTCAGTCTGAAGGTTAGATTGCAAACTGAAAGACGCTTTGGCAATTCCAGTTATGCAAATGAAGTGGGGCCCTAGAAAGCTGAGTTATGGTTTCATGTTTTGACTTTATGCAAAAACAAAAAACTGGAAATAAGAAGCCAAGACTGATTAGTTGGGTAAAAATTCCTTATTATTTTCATTGTTTCCATTTTTTTTAAAACTTTTTGCCTTTATATCTTCAGTTTTATATCCGAAGTACAGATTATGATCGCACAATTATGAGTGCCCAGTCATACCTTTCTGGCCTCTTTCCACCAACTAGCAGCCAAATTTGGAACCCTGAGCTTCTCTGGCAACCCATCCCAGTTCATGTTTTGCAAAAATCAACAGACCAGGTAAGTGCTGACTGGACAGTTTCTATAATGCCTTAAACTTTCCCAGAAGCAAAGAAGAGAAAAAAGGGGGAAAAAGGCCAAAAAATATTTTTTATTCTCTTTGAGTTCAATCTAATAGAAAACATCAACTGCAGCTACTGCCTGACAAGCGTGCCATAGGCCAACTGAAACAGCTGCATGAAAATCCTCCTTCTATAGTTGCAGAATACCTGAATTGTTGCCCACACTAGCATTTTCTTCAAGGTACAGCTCTAACATGTCTCTTGGCAAGGGCACTTTTGGACAGAACTGAAGGAAAAGTAGCCCTAAACCTTTAGAGAGGACAGGTGCTTTTCTAAGCACCAATCAGCTGAACAGACTGACTCTCCTCGACAAGTTTGCTCCATAGTTTATTCAAGGAATGGAATTCTCACCAGCCACTATAATGATGTCTCAATTATTACTTTGCTATTCTGGTAGCACTTAGGTAGTCTAATTACAGACAAGGGCCCTTTTATGCTTAGTGCTATACAAATGCTTAATGAAACCCTAGGACTTGCCTTGCGGTTCATAATAAGAGCAGACCTACCTGAATGTTAGGTAGGTCTACTGCAGGCAGCTCTCTCTGGCTGACTTGGGTTTAGATTTTAATTTCACTGGCTCCTGTGACAAGGACTGTGTAAGGAACAGTGTGTTGAACAAGGACAAAGAGTTACAGAGAGTAATGACTGAAAGGCTAATTTTCTTCTGCCTTTGAGGACAGAAGTTGAGTTTAAGGAAATGTAGACAAAAACTTTATTAAATAACTGCCTGTCCAGTCACCAACATCAGAGGATGGACCTTGTCATTAGGGGGTGGCCACACCTGCCTCCCATTGGCACTCCTCCATTCTTGGAGGCCCTGCTTGAAAGCAGGTACAGAGCAAGAGTTTCCACAAACTGGATTACACACAATGTGATTCAGCTTGAAACTTGACTCTGTCCCTAAACAAAAAAGAATGCCACTGTTATTTAAATGTGGAACACTAAGGGAAGTTCTTTCACTGGAAGACATGAAAAAGCATCAAAGCGGTCAGAGCTTTGGCCAAATAACATCTCCAAGCCCTTAGGGGAATCACAGTGCAGTGCAATGACCTGCTGAGAGAAGGCAAGCTCATTTCTAGGAATCTCCAGTACCTCATCACTTCTGCAGCTGCTCCAGGAGCAGGTATTTCATTGAAACACAGCTCTGTGACAACTAAAAATTTCTGTTAAATATGCAAACCTCCTGGAAAAATCATTTTTCCCTTGATAAACCAAGCAGATGTTTGAGGGTCCTTTCAAGCCCTAAGCAACACAAAGTGGGAAGTTGAGGCCAAGTACAGTCTTGTAGAAAAACCTAATCACAGTTTATTTTTCAGCCACTGAGATCTATCAAGACCCGACAGGCAACAGTACTGAGTACTGCTTAATGATGCCAAAGGGAGTGGCTTAACTAATAGCACCTAGAGGGGAATAATTAAGCCATACAGCAAGAGAAACATTTGTTATTGTGTAATTAAACAACATTCCCCAGTTTCCTATGGCAGCTTTGAGCCCTCACTCTCTGGTGTGCTGCTGCTACAGAAAAAAATGCACACTTGGAAATCTGTCCGGGTGAATGTGTGCTAGTGTGAGTTGGTGGCTGCTGCAAAATTCATGTTGATAAAGAGAAAAGAGAAGCACTGGAAGTGCAGTCTGCAAATATCCACCCCAAGAGAGAGTTCACATTGCACATACATGAGACATAGACTGAAGTTAATTTCTTCTTGACACGATTTGTATGGTTATAGAATAAGATTTGGTGCTGGGTCAAAAAATGCTCTAGTGATGTGACATAAAGTGATAAAGCAGCACAAGCTTAATTTGCTCATCATAACTTTTTACTGACACTTTATGCTGGATCAGGTATCATCTGTCCTTCTGCAACTGGCATAAAGCATACTTACTGGAGTACAGAGTTTGATGGACACGTACGCATTTATATATGATTCAGATCATAGAATCATAGAATGGTTAGGGTTGGAAGGGACCTCAAAGATCATCGAGTTCCAACCCCCTGCCCTGGGCAGGGACACCTCCCACTGGAGCAGGTTGCTCAAGGCCCCATCCAGCCTGGCCTTGAACACTTCCAGGGATGGGGCATCCACAACTTCCCTGGGCAACCTGTTCCAGTGTCTCACCCCCCTCATAGTAAAAAATTTCTTCCTGAGATCAAATACGTACTATCAGGCGACCTCATAATGCACACACTTGGAGTTATTAAAAGTGAACCATACCCCTAAACAAGAACAGAGCCATTTGGCTCATAGATTTTTGATATTTCAGAAGCACAAATTAATTGTCACTCTTGTTTTGAGTTCTGTTCATGAAGTGGTACTTAAAAAGCTTACCATAATATGCTGTTTACCTCCAAAGAGATGAAAGCAGGATGTGTAGATGCAGAAGTAATTCAGATTCCAGTAGCAGGTGGAGCCAAGCTGCATCTGGGGGGATTCAGAAATTAAAAGGGAGATGGTAACTTTTAAAAATTCCTGATCATGGAATCCGGATCCATTTCCCAAAGCAATTCCCTGACAGACACGCACAATTGCTTTTTGCCAAAATCAGTTAAACTGAGGGAAATTAGCTACCATAGCCACAAGTAGCCACTGAAAAGTCAGGTTACCACAATCCATTGCTTATTTCAGCTGAATTCATGAACAACATACCCAAACAAACCCCGACAGAGTAGCTGTAGTATGGCCATGAATCTGTCTAACTAATATTACATCAGCAATCTCAGCAATGGAAAAACTAGAGGTGTTTAATTTGTTTAAATACTAGAGGTGATTAATTTTAGAACTTTCCTAAGTTTCATTTCTCTTGTTTCAGATGCTGCACTTTCCTTTGACTGGATGTCCCCGTTTTGATGAACTTCAGAACAAAACACAAACATCTAGTGAATTTCAAAACAGAATACAACCATACATGGTAAGAAAAAATAAAAAGGAAAAATAATCTAACAAGAAGGAAAGTAACTAAGATGTAGAAGATATGGAATTGCATTGTTTGCTTTCGCTAAAATGGAAAAATAGATAAATGCAAAAAAAAAACAAAACCCAAATGCTTAGGACTCTCTTAAAATCAGAAATTTAGGCCAATATGATCAAAAACTATGTTTTATATCTTTATGCATTTCTCATACATTTTTATACTAATCTTTTACTAAAAACTATGTTTTATATCTTTATGCATTTCTTATACTTTTCTATACTAATCTTTTAAAATTTAGATTTAACATTAATGTTCTGATACTATTTACAGCTGCATATAACTAAGTTCCATGATCTGAAGGAAGAATGATGATTCTATGACAAAACCCAAATGCTTAGGACTCTCTTAAAATCAGAAATTTAGGCCAATATGATCAAAAACTATGTTTTATATCTTTATGCATTTCTTATACTTTTCTATACTAATCTTTTAAAATTTAGATTTAACATTAATGTTCTGATACTATTTACAGCTGCATATAACTAAAGTTCCATGATCTGAAGGAAGAAATTTCTGGATGCAGCAATTCCTAGTTTTGCTGGGTAACACAAAACCAATTCTAAAAAAATCTGATCGATTCTATGATTCTATGATTCTATAAGAAATTTCTGGATGCAGCAATTCCTAATTTTGCTGGGTAACACAAAACCCATTCTAAAAAATCTGATAAATCTGAAGCTTGGGAAGGTTTATGTTAAATTTTCCTTTTTTGATTTATATCTAACTTTCTGCTAGCTCAGCTACTCTGGTCGGCCTCACTGACCTGCAATGGGAGGTGAATTATGAAATCTGAAGCTTGGGAAGGTTTATGTTAAACCCAACATTTTCCTTTTTTGATTTATATCTAGCTTTCTGCTAGCTCAGCTACTCTGGCCGGCCTCACTCACCTGCAATGGGAGGTGAATTATAACTTCATAGCTATCCTCTCCCTCAGCCACTAGTACAAAAAAGGCAATGTGGAAATAAGAGATATTAAGGAGTTCCTTTATTCTTCTGTGGTAGCATGTAGCAAGAATCCCTGTGGGAACTGTTGTGGAACTATTACATAGATATTTAGCTCCCCTTCAATGGCAGAGGAAAATCTAGTTTCCTTTTCAATTTCTTTTTCCCTCATCCTGAATACTTGACTCAGCTCTCTTTAATTTTCTATTTTTTCCTCATCTTTTCCTTTTTGCCTTAGAGCCTTCCAGTTCCTTTTATTTGAAGGCTTGAGGTGACTGAGGTAGCCTCCTGGAGCAGTCAGAAGAGGGAGAGGAGAGTGCAGCAGAGAGAGCACCAGACTAATCCATAGCAGGGCTGAGAAAAAGCAGTGTCTGAAACAGAGATCAGTACCTTGACATGGTTACAAAATGAAATCTGCAACCAGAATCCTCTGCTACAAGGGTTTCACTCGTGTAATATTAAATACTGTTGTGTTGCCAGGTTGGGTGCTAATGAATCTGTATGCATATAAGTTCCATATGTATTGAGTATTTGTGTTATACTCTTCAATTTTTTTTCTTCCAGGACTTTATACAAACAATGGCAGTTGGTTGGGTGCTAATGAATCTGTATGCATATATGTTCCATATGTATTGAGTATTTGCGTTATACTCTTCAATCTTTTTCCTCCAGGACTTTATACAAACAATGGCAGCAAACACAGGACTTGAACTAAATAATCTTAAAATACTGGACAATTTCCAGCTCTGGAATACGTACGATACTCTATACTGTGAGGTAATAATAAGGCAATAGGGGTTGGGAAAGAATATAACTCCTAAGTCGGGTTTCAGTTAAACCATGGCAATGTGGCTTCATAGGAAAGAGTTGCCTTCTCTCCTGCATTTGCTTTATTTAATATTTTTTTTAAATTGAATCTAAGTTCTAATTTAGTGCATTGGTAAAAGACAACCCAAAAACATGATTTACCCCTTCAAAACTGTTTTTTTCCATTTGCTGGCTTATTTTAAAGCACTGACACCAGAATCCATTCCCTTTTTTCGTAAAAGACAACCCAAAAACATGATTTACCCTTTCAAAACTGTTTTTTCCATTTGCTGGCTTATTCTGAAGCACTGGTACCAGAATCCATTCCCTTTTTTTCCTCATTTTCCTTTCAAATATGCTGCTATAGAATCACTTCAGCATGCTACCTAGGACATATATATGATTTGTAACAGGAAAATGAAATTATTTGCTTTAATCTATCAACAGGTAAACATCAAAATACTTAGAGCTTGAAAATGAGGAGTAGGAATATGACCCATCAGTTAGAAAATTCGGAGATGATGATAGCAACTGGTGAATAAAATCAGGCTGGCCCCAAGCATGGGATGAGTCCATCTGGCCCCTGTCATTATCAGCAGCACATGAAGGCTGTTGAACATATCCTCCACACACTGGCACTTGGACACTATCAGATACTGTCATTCTTAACATGACTGGAGAGTGACACTTGTCTGTAAAAGGCCAGTGATGGAACTGGTACCTGGACAACTGTATGGAAATGGAAGGAAAGGTTGGAGCTAGGTTATACCCTGAAGACCCTGAAGGGAAGAGGATAAGACATATGTCTGCAATCTTTCACAATAGCAAAACCCAAAATCATATATCTTTATAGCAAGAACACATTATACCTACAAGGGATCCCCTTCACAGAGGTGTTTCTCCTATTTCCATACCTCCATTTCAGGTTGATCCCCATTCCCATGCTGCCATGCTGCAGGGTGTGCTGACAAGTGAAACCACACTGGGCAAAGAATTGCAGGGCAGCCTTGGAGACTCCAAATGTAGTAGTGTGAGGTCGAGCAACAGGATAATGGAAACCTGTAGAATTAAAAATAAATTATTTTCTTTTCCTTTATCACTAGGGTATTCACAATTTTACTCTCCCTGTATGGGCCACCAAAGATGTAATCGACAAGATGGAAAAACTGGCAGAATTGTCCTTATTATCGATATTTGGGCTTTATAAAACAGAAGAGAAATCACGACTGCAAGGAGGTAAATAAAAAAAATGCACAGAAAAGTAGGAGACAATGCTTATGATAATGTGCAACATCCTGTCAAGGTACTCATGCAAAAATATTGACAAAGAACCTAGATTTGTAACTGTGGACATAGAATGCCATTTTAAGCATGAAAATACGTGCCGAATGCCGGCATTTCCATGGATGAGATATTGAAACAAGGTGTATATATGAATGTCTTTAGTTATCCCATAGTTTTTAAGAGATAATGATTTTTTAAAAGATTATAGAAATCCAAGAGAATAATCAAGCCTACATGAGCATGATCATTACTTGTCTGACATTGTTAGATTAAGTTTAAGTTCTGTTTCTCCAATATTTATTTTGTTTCCTGATCTTTGTTTTTCCCTTTGACATACTACTTATATGTTGTGCCAAAACCTTTGCAACACATTGGTAGCTCTCTGAAAGACTGATATAAAGCTGCTCCAAAACAATCCAATCAGAATAGATGAGAGATTCAAGTTATATCTATACTGCAAGAAGGGGAACCACTGCTTAGCTCCGAAATCGAGGTGCATGGGCTGTGCAGAAATGACACCACTTCAGGACACAACCCAGGCATTTTTCATGTGATCCCCAGGTGTCCGTGAGCAGGAAACCCAAGCAAGTGAGCTTGAATATCTGCAGGCTGGACTGTTTGGGGCTAGGCTTTGTAATGCACCTACCCTGCAGTCTAGACCCAGCTAAAGAATTATTAGCAGCCTTATTGTCAAGCACATACATCACTTGATCACGCCATATACTAACTACAAGTCAAACCTGCATTAAAGCCCACTAGATGTATCATGGGGTCAGGACTTTTTTTCTAGTGTTCACAGGCATATCAATTATGCCTTAATTCCCTAGAATGGTATCAATTGTGTTGCAGGGAATTCCTGCTGCCCTTATGCTATTGGCTTTAGAATATCTCTGGTCTGGAGAATGAGTACAAAAGAGCTTTGGAAAAACAAAGAATTGATTTGAAAATGTTTCTTCAGCATCTAGAGAGGAAGAGGCTAGCACAGCTGGCATTATTGCAAAACTGCAAACAGACAAAAAATGATGGAGAGGAGGGCTCAGCATAACAAAACTGGAAGTGTCATTAGCCCCAGTTCTAAGGATAGTTCTAGATGAATTTCTGAAAATCCTCCACTTCACTTGATCTGGATGATGAACGATATATTTCACCTCTGCAATATCTTCTCTCTAGTTATGAACTTGCAGCAAGCTAAAAAAAATGAGTATGGGGCCTGAGCAGATGTCTTCTATTTGATACTCATAATCTTTTACCTTTTTGGTTTCTACGCAAATGTTATATCTTCATTTTCCCCTTCCTTTTTCCCATCTTCTTAAGGTGTTCTTGTGAATGCCATTTTAAAGAGTATTAAACAAGCTGCCAATTCTTCAAAACAAAGAAAAATGGAGGTCTACTCTGCAGTGAGTATTTTCATCTTTCATAAATCTTGCTATGATTTTACCAGTAAAAGATCCTTAAAGAGAATAATCAGTCTCCCTGTAAGTTAAATGAAAGAAACAGTTCAATTCAGCTAACAAGCTGAACACCAGTCAGTACAAAAACACAGCCGGAGCATGGGTCTCACCTCAGTTTCAGTCAAACTGTACTTGGTAAAGAAAATGATGTATTTTATCAGCCAGTTTTTCTGCAACTTAATGGTGCAGTTCCTATAAGTTGCATCTTTCCTTAAGTGCTCCCAACCCAGGGATGCTGGCACATTGCAGAACTTCAGCTGCACCTCCAAACACTTCCTCTGCTTAGAAAGGGGCGATATAGCTGTGGATTCTATTTTTTAATTTATTTTAGAGGATGAAGAGGGCCATTTGAGTCAGGCCAAGATCCACTTAGCTCATTCATTATCCTGTCTCTAACAATGGGCAACAGCAGGAAAGAATGTGAGAATAATGCCAGCACAGAGTGATGCTTCCTCTGATACAACCTTCCAGCAATCTGTGGCTTAGGGACTTCTTGAGACAGAATCTGTGTCTGTGTATTTAATAGCACTTGTCAGTCTTTTTTCCATCAATTTATCTAATTGCTTTTTTAATGCATTTATACTTTTGGCCTCTGCAACATCCTGTGGCAACGGCTCGTGTGTTAAAAGAAAAAAAGTATTTCCTTATTTTTATTTTAAACTTAATAGTGATTTAGCTCCCTCCTAGCATTTCTATTGTGAGAAACGGGGAATAATTCTTTATTCACTTTTCCTGGGTCACTCATGAATTTACTATTGTCTGTCACACCTCTTTCATCTTTCCTTTTCCAAGACAGAGTCCTACCCTATTTATCTTTCCTCATATAGAAACCTCTTAATACTTTAAATCTTTCTTGCTGCCTTTTCTATGTGTCTTCTAGCCCTACTGTATTCGTTTTGAAAAGGAAGAAGTGCATCCAGAATTTTCACTGCTGCTTTAATGCCTTGAGGCCAAGTATACTCTTATTTTTGAAAGTGATCAGTCTAAAAAGTTCCAGATCCTGAATAATAATTAAAGCATAGCTGTTAAACTATACTATAAATAAGCCTAGCAAATATATATATAAAGATGCTTACAAAATTTAGGTATCAAGGTGTTTGGACTTCCTTCCTTCAGTTCCTCCTCCTGGGACATCCTGCAAGAGGAGGGATAATGAGGAGAGGAAGAGGCTGGGAGTGGGTGGGTAACCAATTCCACCAAAATAGAAGTCAAACTGAGAATTTATTGTCTAAGTCCAAACAGAAGGAACAGCAATTTAAAAAATGCTGGAGTGCGTGTGGAGGTGAGGAGAAAAGTATTTGTATGCAGCTATTTGTCTGATATACTATCTAAAAAAAAAAGTACTTGTATCTTTACTCGAAATGCCATAGGATATATTACCTTATACTGCTTTAATCTGACTTTGGAACCAAAAACACTCCTGAAGGAAGGAGTAGCAAAATGCATAGAAAAACTAGATTTATTTCTCAGACCACATCTTGACTTCTCTGTATCTCTGTCTCCAAAACATTGCCAGATGGCGTAAGACACATACTGCAGTAAGTCTTTGGAAATGCCCCCTGCTGTCTGTAGTAAACTGTTAATATGTTTTTCCCAGTGGTGAATACACTGTATATATTTTTATCATCAAATTTACACAGGTTTTGTTTTATCATGATTTCCACTGCCTCTCTACTTTTGTCTCATTACTCTGGATAAATGGTAGGTGACTTTCTGACAGACTAGACCTGAAAGTAACTGACTTTCAAGGATGGATATTTTTTTTTCCCAACAGCATGACACCACACTTGGGGCCCTCCAGATCGCTCTCAATATTTTCAACGGAAAACTGCCACCATATGCTTCTTGCCAGTTTTTTGAACTCTACCAAGAAAGCAATGGGCAAGTATTTTCTTATCCATGCAAGAACAAGGAGTGGTTGGAATTTGGTTCCCCCCCTCCCCCAAAATCATTTTCCCCTCAAATGTTGCAAGGACATACAAATTCATTTTAAACCGATACTTCCCTGAGCAGTCCACAGGCACCAAGTTATATTAAAACTTGGAAAAATTACAGTTGCTAGATATGCTAGATATGCATGTATCTGTGTGCTTCGAACGATAGGAAGAAAACGCCTTCCCAGCTGGACATAAATGGTAAAATAGATTTTCCTGCTTTTTCAAAAGACAGCAACAACATTTCCAAGTCTTCTCATAAATCCTAAGGTGAACCAGTTGGCTTAGAAGAACCTGGTGCTGTTGCCATTCAAGAAGCCTTCAGAAGGACCTTTTGAGCTGATTAGTGATCTGTGCAGTAACGTAACCAGCTTTTGCAAAGCGGTCTTTGCAGATGTTTTTCACAAAGTCTCCATTCTTGAAGAACAGGTTCTAGAGTAGGATGTTAGAGCCCATTTCCAACATTGTGTTTCTAAATAGGAAACCTTGTGTTTAAGAACCTTTTTTAAAAAATCTTTTCAATGTTGTTAATCAGGCAATATAGCATTGAAATGCATTATCGGAACGATTCTTCAAAGGATCCTTATGTACTCACTCTGCCAGGATGCAACTCTTCTTGTCCACTTGAGAAGTTTGCTGAACTAGTTTCTCCTGTGATTACAGAAAATTGGTCAAAAGAATGTGGGAAGAAAGACAAAATGAAAGGTAGTGTAACAGCTCTGTATTTTCTACACAAGACATGGAGGTGGAAATTGTATCAATGGCTCCAAACTTTGCACCTTCCACACAATAGACAGGTGTCCCTTTAACAAGTGCGGACCAGCTTTACTATGGACAGGGAAAGCCAAAGGAAATTGAATTTCTATAAAAATATGAAAAGTACATTTGGCCACCAGTGTGCAGGCAGTGCTATTATTAGCATACCCACATAAAGAGCTACCTAAAGGCATGGCCAAAGCTAGAGCTTTGCTTGCTGAAAATGTCCAACAGAAATCTGGGGGTGGGTGCTATGCAAGGAGTCCTGTGTATGTTGGATGCATCAGTCCTTCAGTAGATACAAAGCAAAAATGGCTTGCACACCCACAGTAAGATAGATGCATGTGCATCTCTGGCATGTGTGCTGTGTATTGAGGGTACCTTAACCTCAGCTGTACACAGAGAAGGCAGCTGATCCATGCAGACAGAGTAGCTGTTTGCCTCCAACTACCAACAGCTGACAGCTGATTACCTCTTCCTACCTGAATACTATTTCCAGGAGGAAAGTGAAGGGTGAGGCAAAATCTAACTGTATTTCCATTGTACATACCTGTAACTAGACTGTATCCAAAATGATATATGTGTATGTCTTTCATTAACTCCCTTTTCCTTTATTGTTTTTCTTTCACAGATATTTTTATCGGATTTGACATTGCTGTTGGCTTGTTGTTCATTTTTGACCTTGTACTGCTTTACCTCCTTTATCATTATGGACGCTGCAGGCGCAGAAACAATTACCAAGACATTTAAAGGGGAGGTAAAGAAATGAAAGAGAGAGCAGCTAGACCTCAAGCAATCCTTTAAGTTCCTTGTATCCATCCGTTTGCTCTGGCCAACTTAATCTCCAAAGCATATTCATAAACTTGAAGAGCTGAGGTATCTGTGGCCTAGCTCCTAAAAGACTAAACATCTGCAGTGAGAAATACTGTAGAAATACATTATTGTTAAGAATTTACTTTTGTAGCAAGACAGAATTGCTTAATTTTCTATCTTTAGGTTTTCCACTACTGTTTTTAATATTGCCTATTACCATTTAGCCCTCTACTTTTGTCTTTCCCTGCTGAATGAATCTTTCTTGAAAATCACAATCTGTAATATTTCCTTACTTCTTATAAATGGCTATTTTGTTGATACAGAGGAAAATGTTTGCAGTGACCAAAAGCTCCAATTACTGTGTGAAAAAGATTCGTACCAGCACTTGGGTATACCATTTCTGCATTTATTAATGCAAATCTATGCATGAGTTTTGACCTTGGCCTTCAGCTAATAAAAGTCTGCAGCCTGCTTTTCAAAAGCTACACTACTATAGCTTTCACTCAAATTAGTAGGAACTGGAGGGAGATCTGTTGCATCTCCAGGCATAAGCAAGAAGCTTAGCGCAACAGCATCTTGGTCAGTGTCCACAACTTCAGTAATGTGGATAAGTAAATACATTAAAATGTATTTTTTGTTGCTACACTGCTTTCCTATTTTTCTGAGCTCCCCATCATGAATGATCCTTTCCCTGCATCTTTTCTGGCGCAACAGTTCTGTGTCCTGCTTCAGGTCCCCTCTATAATCTTATTTCTTTGAGCCATTCTTACAATTATTCCTCAAGTTATCACTCTATTCATCACCTTTCATTTTCATTTTCATTTACAGTAACTCCTTTACTTCCTTGCTCTGTTCAAAACCCTTTCTGTTAGCAAGACATGCACTGAAAGTAAGAAAAGACTGATTCTGCTTTTTGTATGTTGATCTCTTCTGTGCAATACATTTTGTTTAGATTGTAAGCTCCTAAGGGCAGGAAATTTTTTTCCACAATTGCTCTCTAGTATCATAAACTAGTATCATAAGCACTAATATTGCTGTATAAAATACTGCTTATCATCATATGTTTCCAGGGCTGAATCAAGATTTTTTTTAATCCTGTAGTCCTGCAGAGGATACTGTGAATTGCATTACCATGGAGAAGCCTTTTTGAAAATCAAGATGGCTATACAGACAGGTGTGCCAACAGCAGGTCCAGTCCAACAGATATAATGAGCAATCATGTGCTCAAGCTAATGAGTCCTGTTGAGGTGCAGAAGTCTCAAGAAAGCTGAGAGATGGAGCTGCTTAGCTCAGGCACAGCATCGCACCAGTGTGAATACACTGCCTCTGGACTGACTTTGACTCATATCTGTGGGTTGCAACTTGGTGCCCAGGAGCTTGGGTCAGCTACCACTGATCTAGAGATCAGCCCTCAGTATTACAGCTGTGGACACAATTAAAATGTGATGTAGTTAGATGTATGGATATTAACTAGCATAAATCAAACTGAATAACAAAGGCTTGAGGGAATGCAGCACTTTACAAATATCATTGTGTTTTCTTGCAGTAACTCCAGCTACTCAGCTGTCCATCTTTTAAAGCAGTATTTCCCACTCAGTAAAAAGCCTTTACTAGCATCCATGACATTTCCATTTTATCTATTTTAGGAAATGTCATAATAAAGTGATGGATTTGATTCTTACATAGGAAGGATGTTTTATTGTAGAACAATTTGGGGCAAAGCTGCCGGAAAGATCAAAGCCTATCCTTAAATCAGATGTTTTGGATGTACAAGCTTCAGTTTGTAACTGATCCTTGGTGCAAAAACTTAAAGGAATGTCTATTCTGCAGTAAAAAGTGTTACAGCAGCTCTGGAAAACAAGTCTGAGCTGCCTTGGTTACTATTAGCAGTGTACTCACACTGGACAAAAGCTCAGGACAAAGTGCAAAACTGATCTTGGCTCCTGAATATATATATATATATATATATATATATTTACTCAGTGATTACCTGATGCTGAGCTCTGTATTACCATGCCCACAGTGCTGCTAGTACTCACTAAGGATAGACTGAGGAAATCTTTTATTAGAGGCAGTCAAATGCTCGACAACTGAAGATGTATCATTGACTGATAATGTGCAGTAATAACTGGCTGTGAGATAGTAGAAAGTCAGTTGGTTGCTCCCCACAAGAAGTAGAACGGAGCATGTTTTTTCCAAGATTGCTTCTTATAATAAGAAGCACATCTAGACAGAAAGTAAAATGTGAAGTTCTGAGGCATCTTTTGTGGTTTATTCTACTGCAGCCTAATCTGCTACAGAGAATTTGAGGAGATGAAGCAATTCTAGCTGTGGCAAGAGTTGTCACAAAGTAATTTTTTTGTAGGGATGCCTTTTTGTTAACAGATAGTCATACTTGAAAATGTCCATGCACTTTTAGAGAGGATCCATTGAACACAAGTTACACAGAATGTAATGGATAGATTCAGATGATGTAACTTCAGAATTTATGAAGGTACAAAAAAGATGCGGTGCCTTAGTAATGTAGGCCCTGAATCTAACTTATAGTAAAGACGCTTTGTCTTGCTGAGATTAAAACAAGGTTAATTTCTCCAGTGGAGTAAAAGGTTGTTAAGTGTCTGACAAGCTTGTGGCTTTTTAATTTTTTCAGCCATATTTACAATTTGCTTAGCACAATCTGTTTGTGATTAGAAAATATCTTGTCTCCAAGCTACCTGTAGCACTGAAATAAAGTACATTAAAGAAACAATTCAACATTTGCAATTCTATTTGAGTGAAAGATAATGGAGCTTTCAGTATGCCTAGAGTTCCCAAACAAAAGAGAATGTTCAGGTTTGCTCCTTCTGTAAGAATAGATTTTTAAAGCACTGATGCTTTGACACAAATAACGCTAAGCCTGATGACATCAAGCTCTTCCGTTTGCCCTCCAGCAGTGACATCATCTGCCTCTGCAGCAGGGTTTTCTCGTGCACGTGGCAGAAAGCAGTGCATACACAGCACTTCCCAGCTCAGTCAGCAACAACCTCCTCTTACCGAATTGATTTCATTCTGGAACTTGTTTATTCATGGTCCTGAATATTGCACACGCTGGGTCAGCACAGCAGAGCACAGCGACCTGACTACCAGAGTAACACTGGCTCCGTCTGGAGCGCTCATGTTTGTTACACCTGTAATGTAGAGACATTTGATCCAAATGATATTATCTCTTCTCACTTAAAAAAAATTTCTTAGGTGTGGTAAGATACAGAAAACAGAATAACAAATGAGCTACATTAAAAAAAATAAAAAATCTGTTCAGTCCAAAAATTCTTGAGTTTGGATTAAACCCCAAACAACAAAGGATTATGTTTCAAAAATTTTCTCCACAAACAAAAATATGCTAAGAATTCTACTGTAAAAAGAATATAAATATTCATAGTGATGGAATTTGAGAGTGATGATGAGGGTAGAGGCTGGCTTATTCTTAGGCATATAACCTTTGCCCTTACGAATCCATGTTGAGGTGATGTCAGTAATATTGCATAGGATTGTATTCTGGACATGAAATAGCTGAAACTACTCTACTCTTGACAGCATTTCTTATAAAGAAAGATGGGGATGAAAGGCATACATTTACCTATAAAGGGCTAGCTTTATTGATTTAGATTGTAATGCTTCATCAAAATTGCCAAGTATTAAAACTCAAATAAACAAACATGAGTTGCTACTGAAATAACAGCAAATCATTTGAACTGCTACATTACATGGTCTCTTCTATGACTAGGCATCTTCACTGCCAAAGGGATTTTAGCACAGGCAAGGCCTTCAAGATCACATCTAGGAGATCAGCTACATTTGGAAAGACAGTTAAAGAGACATGTCCAAAGTCCAGTTGTGCTAATTTCTATAATTGCTCTTAAAGCAGAATTATAACACTATTTCCCCTCCTGAGACTGATAGTACATTGTCAACTTCATCCATCTTGCAGACTGAGGTTCCAGTGATCTTTTAAAAAATTTGTACAAAGATACCATTTATCAATTCAAAATAGATAGTGGCAAAAGAAAACAGTCCTGGCTCCATCTATCTTTCTCTGTATTTACCCAGAGTCATGTCCATGTCAAAAAAGGTGATTTCTCTGTGCTCTGGTTATGGCAGCTAAAGCTCTTGCCCTCTTCCTATAGAAAACCCTTGACTTCCAAGGACATAGCAATTCTGCCAGCTCATCTACCCTATCAACTACGGAAAGAAAGGTAATAAGATGCAGGATGATCATAAAGGCTTTTCTCTAGGAAGATAAAAATTCAAAGGATATATGGACTCAAAACCCTGTAATTTCAAGCCCAAATAAGTAAGCACATGTCATCCATTCTCTAAAATATTAGTCTTGACAGCATTTGGATAAAAAATGACAGGAAGACTAGCAAAATTCTGTCATACAGCAGCTGAGCTGACTGATTTCTGGTACTTCTTGGAAGCAGAGCTGCTCTATTCTTCCCATTCTAAGGCATTCTCAGAGCTTTTCCTGGCTGCTCTTCAGGAAGCAGCAGGAGCTGAAGCAGATTGGAAGCCTACTTCTTGTCCATAAGTTTTGAACCACAGGTACTTAAGATTAAAATGGATGTGATTAGCAAATTACTGTTTGTTGCATATATGTTTCTTCACTTGTGAAAGTAATACAGAAGTACTTTTACAGTCCAGGCCAATTTCTCCAGATGAGATGAATCACCTCAACTCATCTGAGCATTTGTTGAGAGCATTTGCTACTGATATAAGCAGACCTTCACAAGAATCTTCTGTATCCTCTGTAAATCCTGGTGGAAGAGAGCTTTATTAATCCATTTATGAACAACAGACTCCTCTTTTCTTGGTAAAGGAAGATGTGGATCAAAAACCACCTTAGTCTATAAGTTAAGACCCTTCAAATAAGCACACGAAAATCTTATTCTGACAAATGAAGGTTGAATTTTCACTTCACTTTTCACTTCACTTCTTCACTTCACTGTTTGGAAAGATGGTGTTGGCAGAGACAGTATCTATTAAGCCACACTATATGGTGGTTAGCATATCTCTAGCACAGTTATTGTCTTCTTTTATATGGCTATTCACTCTCACCTCTGAACTACTGGTAGGACAGAGGTGAAGGACAGTAAATAAGTTGCTGTCGCTTACTCTTACAAGTTTTAACCACCAAAACTATTTGGTCATAGATGTGAACCAAATGGGTCTTCAATTCCCTCAACTTTCATTCTAACTAAACTACCACACTCAGCCTTAGAGTACGTACCAAAGCATAACCTCTATTGATTTATCTCTCCCTTTCTGACCACACATTCAGTAATATCAATATTGTAAAAAAGCCATTAGCCATTAGACAGTTGCAGCTGTCTTTGCTGGTCTCATTGTCTGGTTGATGTTTCACTATGATTTGAATACCAATTCTCTGTAAAGAAGACCATTCTCCGTCATGAAGCGTTGTTGTCATTAATCACTGTCTCAAGAATCACTGTCTCGAGAAGAAATCACTGCCTTAAGAAGAATTCTATTTTCTGCAGACAAGTGTGTCTGAACAAAAAGCTAGGAGATTTTCATAACCAGTGCCTGCATTATCAAAAGCAGACTAAGCACTGCATACAAACTTACCTCCTTATTTCAGTGAGGTAACTGCCACTTTGGATAGTGCAAACGCACTCTGACTCGTCTTGAGTGTGTCATTTTATAATGATGTATCTTTCTACTTTAGGATGTGGTTTTAGAATGTAGTTCTAAGTATTTTTGTTATCAGATAAAACACAAAGACTTATATGAGGGTCTTGATGATGATGGGCCTTGATTGTTCAAGAAAGAGGCCAAATATCCTGAAAAAACAATGATAAACTTTAAAAAAACTGCATTTTTTGCTTTTAAATCTTGTCTGGTGACAAAACTAGTTCTAGATAACCTGGTGAATGCTAAGCATATCATTCCATAAATCAGATACAACCTTTTCACGTAGTGGATGGGCAGCTCCCCCAAGTGTTTACCAACCATCGGGTTGCCTAGTTTTCAGCAGTCTTTGGGCAGTCCTCTACTTTGATACAACAGCCTAGTTCTAGGTGGGTAATGAAACATCTCAATGTGTATCAGACAGAGCCTTTGGCAGTCAGCAAAATAACGGTATGAAATACAAATGCAGTGGGAAAGACAGAAGCTTCCCTTCCAATGGAACATCTCAGACAAAAGCTAAGGGACAAGGTATTTCCCTAAGTGCATTAAGTATTAGCAGCAGGGCATTGTGGAAATCTCTCAAGGTGAAATTAAGCTTTAAAAAAATCTGCTAATTAGAGAAAAGGAGATTGGTTACAGGGTAGCATCAATTAAGGAAGGGCAAGCATGAAAGAGAAGTTTTGTCAAAAGACTGGATCCCAGCTTTTTTGGTACTGTAGAGAAGCCAATTTAATAGGATGATCTGCTGTTTGGAGATTACTTTAGACACATCATTCGTGTCACATGTATGTAGAGAGCAGTGGAGGCCTTGGTTTATCTGTAGACATCTTCAGATATAATAATCCATGTGTTAAACTCTCAGTTAAAAAACTCCTTGAGGTATCTGGAGTTAAGGATTTCCAACTAGTGAGTAAACTACAGGCATATCCTTCTGTAGGGGTGGCAAAGCCATGAGAACACTAACTTATCAACAGTGGCAAACCCTCCAAAGCAAGATCAAGGTCATCCAACTGCTGCAGGGCAGGGTAAACTGCCACAATTACTTTAGAAACTGATAATGCAGGGTACATAGATGCAACATCCCCTCTCCTGGCAGATCCTTACCAGAGTATCCCTGGTGTGCTTTATAAAAGTAGGCAGTCTGTTTGAACCCTAGGAGTCTCTCCACCTGTACATCTCTCTTCACATCACCTTTAACTACGGCCCCGTGAGCATTAAGAAAAGCTTGAGTCACTGCTTCCTACTGATTCTTGGGAGCAGTCTGCCACCTACTGCCTTTACAAGCACTCTGTTTGCAGCCTTCCACCTAAATTGTAAGAAAGCTTGTTTTAAATGGGATTTAGCCGACTTTGATACTTCACAATCTGCAGCCAAACTCATCTTGGATGTTAAAAGGGCAGTTCTGCCCTTCCAGAACTATGTTCTCTTTTAAAGGAGTAGAAAAGAGATTGTTAAGAATTTTCTTCTAGATCATGTATGAAGGAAGTTGATAGGTAGGTTAGTGTCAAATTGAATGGATCTTGCTGCCTCAGAAAATAAGACTGGACTATACATCTGGTCCAGGGATTAATCAGTAAATTTTTTTCTAAGACAAAAACTAATATTGAATCATATTAATTGGCTAAATTTCAGAGGATGATTATGTGATTATCCTTTTCCGACCTTCTGATAGTCTGTGTCCATCTTAATCTGTGTTACTTAAAAGGAAGGAATAATTACATTGTGCTTGATAGATTAGGATCTCCCTGGTGCTATATGCTATTTTTTTGGTATCTTCTACTCTTCTACTCTGCTGAAGCAGCGTGTGACTTTTTTCAGTTACTTTCTCTAACAAGTTAGATGCACAGCATAGTTCTCTCTTCTTTTTTTTTTCCTTTTTTAATAAAAACATCTAATACTGTAAGGCAAGTGTGATAACTACTCGCCTGGAAGCATTTGCTTGAAATCAGTAGCACCAGATTTTGCTAGTTGTTTAATGTGTTTGATGACTTTGCATGTCATTAGGAGCCTTTTTAATCAACCACTGAAATTTTCAAATTAATCTTGCACAAA